ACCGTACCGGCAATTTAATGCTGGGGGTAACCCTGAGATGGACTGGCATCCCATCCAGGGGGGAGTAGAAATACTCCTAGTCGCTTCATGCTACAGAAACCGGAGTTAAGCACAAGCCCAATGGGCCACTAGGCTCGTAAACAGACTTTACCTACCATAACATCACTACAAGTAAACACTTTGCTTTTAAGGTTGAGAGTTGTGTAACGTCGCTTTGAAGTTTTCTCTCAGATAACCAGTGTTTTAAATCCGTCTTTCAAACATTGTAATTTTACTTTTCTTTCAATTGAATTTATTGGTATTCTGTCAGGCCGTTAACATTACTAGAAAAGTGTTTTTGCTGAGTATACGCTCTGTGTTTCTCGAAAACAGAGAGCTTCAGTTTCAAAAGTTATGAACTCTTTTAATCAATTTCCACAAGACTGCCATTGGCTTGCCCTCTTACACTGCTCTCCTTTTCTTTCCTCGATGCTCCTGCTTTAGATCTATGAGTACTGTCAAAACCAATTGGATGTACCCGATTAGATGAAACAATGTGATCCCTTAAAACGGGAATGCAGCGTATTGTTCGCAATAGTGCGAGGCGAAAGCTCCCGCTTCTCCCTACGTAAATACAGGGATTCATCGATGAACTTAAGAACAAGAGAGTAAACGCCCAGTCAAACCTCATCTTGTCAACAATTTTCATCCAGTCAAAAACGATATCAGGGAAGAAACATATCAACGAGGCACTTACGAGGATTGCTGAAGTTTTGGCCGCACTATTTTCGCTCTTGATCTTAGTAGCAGCTTTGTGGTTGAAGGAGACGGATTGCACTTGAGACGAAATCTTGCGCACCTGCTTGCGAGCTACCCAGAAGATATAGGCATAAGTGAAGATAAATAAAGCGAACATGAAAGTATGGACGTGAGGGGTTACTTTTCGTCCACTGTCGGTGGTAAAAAAGTAGGCAAGAATAATGGAACAACCCCAAATACCACCAAGGATGCTTGCATACAACCTTGTGCGATGATGAGACATTGTGTAGGAGAACGGGTTGAGTAACACAGCCATTCTGTTTATTGTGATTCCGGTGAGGCTATTGAAGGACGCATGAACACCGATGAAAGCTGTCAATTCGAAGGCGTATTTAAACCCAGCGCCGGTCTCTGTGCCCAGAATGACAATGTACATCGGTTGGGCTACCAGGCATACGATCAAATCAGCTATGGATAAACTTGCCATGAGTAAATTGAGTTCGTCGCGCATTTGGCGATTTTTCAAAACGACGAATACTACTAGAAAATTGACGATAGCTCCGATAAAGCATAGAACGCCGTTTACTGCCATCAGAAGATGGACTTTGATGGCGACCATGTTGTGTTGCTTGTTTTCCGCACAACTGTTTCCGACTGTTTCTCAATTAAGATTGGCAACGAAAGCATTGATGGATTTTCAAATGAGGTTGTTTGTGCGTGCGAGTAATAGAGCAAATAGAGAGGAATTTAATTAAAATTTTTACTTGTTATGTCTATTTGCACATCAGTACTTGATTAAACCGATCCAAGTAACTATCTTCATCGCAAATTATAGCTCATCACTTGTCTCCAGGTTTTAAGTCTTATCATGTCTGAAAGGTAAAAATGCTTTTTAACATTTTATCCTCATTCCCTAAAAAAAGGTTTTGCTCTAAAAACTACCTCATTAAAATTTCTTTCACTACATTCCCATTTAATTTCCTCTATGAAAAGTTAATTCACATTGTTTCTGCGTGGTGTTTGCACAAACCGCAAAGCTCATGTCTTGTGTTTGAGGAAGATTGCGTGCAGGCGTTTAAAGCAACCTGTCCTCTTGGTATCTTAGCACTGAATTTGCATTCTGCAGGTGCTAAGCCATAGTTGTGCCTTATGCCCATTGACTAAAGGAAACGTTCATGGCAAAAATAAGGAATAAGAGTGAATCAAAATCAAAATACCATTTCATTTTATATATATATATATATATATATATATATATGATATAATTTTTTTTTTTTTATAAAATGGGTAAAGCCACTTACTGAAAACAAAGACTCACATTGTTAATATACTTGTCGTGATCTGAAGCGTTCCTCGACATTTGTCACTTAGGAACAATTAGAATATTTTGTAAGGGCTAAGATGATGGCGACAGTTTTTTTAACGCTGTCTGGGCCACAAGAGCTTTAAAAATGGCAACGTTAACAAGGCCAATGACAAGCTTACAAGACATTATGCGAAGAAAAAATCTCCATGGTAACGTTCACAGTTTCCTACGATTAGGACTGTATCTCGTGTTTGAAAAAAAAAAAAAAAAAAAAAAAAAAAAAAAAAAAAAAAAAAAAAAAAAAAAAGAAAGAAAGAAGCAAGGGAAGCTGAAAGGATGCCTACTGACAGCTCTGGATAAGAGTTCTTCGAATCGATGTTCGACGAATCATTCTTTTTATCTCAATACATGATATTTTTCTCTAGATATCATTAGTGAACGACACCTAGATTGATTTGAAAGTTCGCTGCTTTTTGTGACTGAACTGATTTGATCGTCTTCGATTTTCGCTCGAATAATCTCTACCGAATGCTGAGTTTTTCGGCATTGATTTTTGTCCATTTTATCGCTTAATTAAAGTGTTTGATTTTGTTGAATAGAAAATGGAAATTAGATTAGCTGAATCACTACTAGGAGGGGAGGCATTGGGGGGTTTTGAACATTATAGGCCGTCGTTCTCTCTTTTTTGAAGGTAGTCGTACAACCACAAATTTGTCTCTCGTAACACTTTTAAGTACCACTGAATCAGGGAAGTAACCATTTTAACCACCTTTAGTCGAGATTTTTCATCGTTGTTAACCCCCTCAGTATCTAATTAATCAAGGAATATTTTTGTTTATTCCTTCCCATCTTTCCAAACTAATATTTAGTCGTCTTTTCTTCTGCGGTTGAGATAATTCGCATGTCAGGGTAACAACTTTTCATAGCGCTCCCTTAAAGCACTGCAATGTCATGCAATATCAAGTCTATGTAATCTGATTAATGCTGCCCTCTCGATGTACCGGTGATTCAAATTTTAATTCTATATTTGAAAATACTGATGGGTAGATCTTTGATTGTCACGACTTGTAATTTACGATACATGAACTACCAAAAAAATGTTAATAACCTCGCTTTCACATATCTCTGATTGTCAAAGGTTTTTGCCCACTTGATGTTATCACTTCTATTTGAGACACTAGACAGATTAACGAAAGCCCCTAAGAAGGAGCTTCAATTTACGTATTAATATGCAGATTGATATATTCTAGATTTTGCTTGCGTCACTGTGCTACAGTTGAAGTCGATACAAAGGAATTTTCCAAACGCACACATTATCAAGGAATCGAAGGAAAAAATTCTTGAAAACAAAGCTCGAAACTAAAAAAAAAGATTATTTTGATTGCCATGATAATTGGTTTACGGTGCAGAACTCGTCACAGTTATTGTAAATATTTACGCTTTCCATAAATCTTTGACCGTACGTACATGAATGTTGCTCAACTCAAGAAATTATACCTATTTGAGACACAGGGCAGTTTGATAAGCGAGATCTATACTACCTTTGACTTCAATGCAGGCAGTTTCAGTTTTTTCAACTGTGCCTTGAATGGAGATCAAAGACAATTTTCTTGTGGTTCAGGCTATACAATATATAAGACAATACGTATGATGCACGATTCTCGCAGTAGAGAGCGCTATTTATGCAATAGCGAAAATCAGACCTGAAAAAAATCAGGCCTGTACGGGATTCGAACCACTGACCTCCGCGATACTAGTGCAGCGCTTTACCAATTGAGCTAACAAGCCAACTGGGAACAGGCCGTTAAGTTGATTCGTAATAAACCCGTGATGATAAATCAGATACAATGTATATATGAAGTTCATATATTTTGAACTGCGGTATTAAATACGAATGATGCACGATCCACGATACGTATGATGTACAGGATTCGAACCACGAGGTCAGTGGTTCGAATCCCGTACAGGCCTGATTTTTTTCAGGTCTGATTTTCGCTATTGCATAAATAGCGTTCTCTACTGCGAGGATCGTGCATCATACGTATTTAATACCGCAGTTCTAAATATATGAACTTCATATATACATATAAGACAATATATGAGAGAACGGAATTAGTTTTTCTCACTGGCAGTTTAGAATTGAAATCATAAATCTTATTGACCAGTGATTTTGTCCATCGCCACTAATTCACATTTATAATTTCTTTGTTTTGGTCTCTAACTGAAAGGATGCAAGAGAAGAACGCTGAATGCTTCATGGGAATTAACGCATGGCTAGAAATAGAGAATTACGTGTCTATGACGTAGGACAGAAAGATAATGGCTATAACAGAAATGTTCCAAACTTTTGTCCTATCGCTACATAAGTGAGTCTCAAAAGTAGTTTCTTCTCTAACAGTGTTAAGAGTAATCTCTCTTTTTTCTGTACATCTTAGTACAATTGTCGTTCGACATCCTCTTTAAGCAAATTAAGCGGAACTATGGCAAGAGCTGAATTCTCCCAACCCACGGAAATGGAAAGGAAAAATAGATGAATAACGCTGAGGGAAAAATAGAAATCATTGTTGGAGAGAGTTTAAAAGTTAAGTTCCACAAACATTCAGCAACACATTTTGCTTAGTTTTGAGCCATCAGGAGCTGAAGATAAATTGCAATGGAACAGAACTTATTGAAGACTGAGATAAGATGGTCAATTTCTACACAAAGGCGGGACGAGATGTGCAGTTTTGGTTTTGTTGATCATGATGGTTAAAGTTGCTTTTGAGTTACAAGATGGTGTATATCAGTGATCTATCGCAGAATTTGGATAGAGAAAAGAAGATAATTAAAATATCGATAAGCTACACCAAACTTACCAAATTGTTTGCAGGAATCTGTCCCTTTTGTAATGCAGTTTACAAATTAGATTTGTTTTAAAATGTAATTATTTAGTTCTGCTAAAATGAGCAATAAGTATCGTGGACGTTAATTTTTTAGGTTATGATACAGGAGTTATACATTTTCCATTCCCCGGTCCCTCCTTTTTGATGTGTTTATTTGTTTTCGCATAATGTCATTTACACGGGGCAGTCTTTACTAAGGCTTTTTATATGTCAAATAATGTCGTTTATGATCATCAGTCTGATACCGATCTCGACTTATTTGTTGCAGTTGGTGTGCGTCTTTTTTGTCCTGGCAATGATCCTTTTCAATAAAACTCTCAGTAAACCTCTTGAACTCTTCGAAGTTTTAGGAGAAGGTTTCGCCGACGACCAACTTGAACCAAACATAGCAGCACAGATTAACACAATAGAAGTCTGAAGTAAAAGGGAAGTGAAAAAACTGAAAGAAATCTGCAATTTGGGTCACTATAGCAAATCATCAAACGGTTGTGTAAAGGGATGGTCTAATTGTTATGGTTATATGGTTATACAGAAGCGGTTTGTCACAAGTCCAGCTACCAGTGCCTCAGTAGTATCCCGAGGTGGAAATTTCCAAAGTGTATGGAAATATATGACTTTGTAGAAGTAACGCTAAACGGTGTAACGCAGCAATACAGACGAACCAAAAACTGTATCTGCGTATGAAGACCTCAACAGATTCGAAACAACAATAACTGAGTTTGTACATAAGAAGTCTGAACTGATTTACTTGTGTACGTAAAGAGAAACGTTAAGAATGCTATGATATAGCTAATACTTATATATCGTATTAGTTTATCTGTTTTTGTATTAACATCTCGATTACCTGATTACTGTTCTTTTCTATAGTAATCATCATTGCCATAATTTGTTATGCTTTAGTAAAAAAATTTATTATAATAAAAATATTGCTTAAGCTACTTCTTCAGACGGCACTTCTTTGTAAACTTCTCCCAGGACAAAGCATCTCACTTCTTTTTAATTTTTAATTTCAATTTTAATTTAAAAAAATTTATTCGGTTTGGCTTCTAAAAAAAAAACAGAAAAAAAAGAAGAAACTGAACACACAACAGTAGCACTTAGTACGATATTACAAAAACCCAAAAGGGTACGTGCGAACGGGACGCGAGGTCCCCTGCGAAGCACTCCCCTATATTAAAAAGTAAATAAATAAATGAATAAATTAATAAATTAATAAAAAAGACAGTTTTGTGAAAAAAGGAAATACAATAGTTAGCGATGGCAGGGTCAGGTTCTGATCAAGGTACAGGTGTAACCTTCATCAAAAGAGGTCGGAAGTAAGTACATAAGATGAGATACAACATTTGTAACTTCATGTAACGATATTCGAAGGCACTGGTAAGGGGGGGTTTTGGTTTTCAAGTTTTTCATTTTTGTCGCTGACTTCAGAGGGTATTATACCGTGGTATTCTCCTAATCATACACAGGGGCTTTTGTATGTTATTTCAGTCAGACAACGAGTGCATCTAATTGAGTGTTTTTTCAAACGTTAGCATATTAAATATGCGCATTATTTTTTTTGTAAGAAATAATCTTGACGATCTCACGCACAGCTTGCCGAATGTACAACTCTGATCTAAGCTTCTTGTTCATTTGCTCTCTACCTTCCTCCTACCCTACCATTTTTCTGTGCAATGATTAATTATTTAACTAGCAATTAGTCAAACTACCAATGAATTACTTTGAGAGATCTAACGAGTAGAATGCTCTTGTGGTTTAAGTGTGATCGGACTGCGTATAAGCAAACTAAGTCTCCTTACACACACCTTGGAGGCGATTCCGCTTCATTTCAATAATAACAAACATCTGATTTAATGATCGCGATTTTATTGAAAAGGGAACGCAAAGTAATTAAAACTACACTGGGAGAAGGAAAATGTTGTAAAAAAACATTTATGATAAAATAATTTTAAAAAAAATTGTCTCTTTTCTTTAACAAGGAACAAAAATATTGTGCAATTTCATTTTTTCCACGTGAGGTCAGACAAAGACAAGATGCAACGGAAATAGAAATATCCAATCACTGTAAGAGTTTTCTAAAGCGCCCCAGCTGTAATATGACACATTATTGGCCAGCGATCGGCATGAAATATTCAAACAGGTGATTGTGTTAAAAATTGCCTCAAGTATTTCGTTTGCGCGCAGATATAAAAGATGATTGTCGTCAGGGAATATTCTAAGAGAACCGAGAAGAGGAGCTGGCTGATTACCCCATCAAAGCTGTCCTGTGAAAAGCGACAACATGGGATTCCCTTTGGGTTTAAAGGTAAGCTTCCAAAATCTCTCCTTCTTACTCAGTTAAATAGGATAAGGGTTCAAACCCGATTTAAAGGGATGTAAACTCACTGTCATTTTTTTTTTCTGCAGTAGCGTCAGTTGTTGCCACTGATTACGTCTGAGGGCCATGTCTCATAACTTTGATTGGAAAATAGGCTCCTAACATTTCAGGAAAATCATTTCATGAGCAGCTGTGTATTTCAATCTGTTTACGCGGGAACTGAGTGAAACAAATAATTTTACCTTTTTTTATTATAGTCAGTCTTGATGCTCGTTGTTGCTGCGTTTAATGCAAACCAGGCCCTTGGAAAACCGCACAATCAACAACAGTTGGATGGCGGAACAGACTACGGTTTCCCAGACGCAAACATCGCGCGGAACCAATTCGTGAAGAAATCTGTTGTCACACAAAATGTAACTAGTAAAGGGGGGTACCTGAAAGAGTACTGCTCTTTACCCAAAGAAGGAGGCCTTCAAAACCAGTCGAGACAGTTACCTTGTGAGGCTGGATGGTACCCCTGCTTTGGGCTTGCTGAAATGGTTTGCAAGACACACAGCCTGGCTTGTCTTACTGGCTTGAAAAAGTATGGCTTTCCTAAGTGTGCTCCGATGTATACGTGGACGACGATTGATTTGGGCTTCAAAAGAACAACAGTGAGAAGAACTGCAGCCTGCCGCTGTGCATAAGATAGCAAAGTGAATCAAAGGTGGTTAACTTAAAATAACGCTTGTTAATTCATATGATTCCTATTTACAAATGATTTAAGCGAATTTAACGGTTCTGTATCGCCATTAAATATTCATATTACAATAATTGTATATCTATAAGTGAAATTTACAAACGGAAATAAAGTGTGAACACCATTAAAAGAGGCTTCAGACTCGTCTTAGTAGCATAGAGCCACAAAATTCCTTTTTTAAGGCTCTTCTTTGCCGAGTTGAGTTTCTTGTTCTAGAGACGTTCACGTAATGTTGTTTTATAACTTACTCGCCACTATTTCATTCTCAAGAATGAAAGTAATAGGGATCTAAAAAAATCAGAGTGCGAGTTAAATTCTTGCATGCTTGTAAAACACGCATAGATAAAATTATTGTTTCCTAAAAAAACCTTCCCATTTCACGGTACTTCAGTGGGTTAAGCTCCAGGTGCATGGACCACAAGGCTCAAGTGTACACTTCCCCGTTTCCTTTTTAGGATAATGTAGTAGAATACTGTATTTTTCGCTTCCTCAAAGCAAAGATCAAGTTTCTACCTAGTAGAAGCAGGACATCTGGAACCGATGAGAATTTATATAGTTTGATTGGCTGGGTGACTTTGACGATGATCAGGTCTGCTTGTAAATAGCAACAAGGAGAAGGAGGGATCTTTCAGAAATCTCCTGGACTGCGTAAATGTTAGTTTAATTGCAAAATGCATCTAGGAATTAGACTGAGAAAAACAAATCGTACATACTGCTTGCCCTGGCACAAGTACAGCATGCGCTGTTAAGGAGAAAATCATGAAATTAGGGAAAGAAGTGTTGACTATTTTCATGTCGTGCTTACTCTCAAGGTACCGTGACGTAGGATCTTGTTATCATGATAGTCATTATTATTATGATTATAATTGTTATTATTGTAACTGTTATTGGTTGCGATGATTCTTTTAGAAAATATTAATATTACGTATCTAAATCATTTAAATAAAACCTGGAAATCTTCATCATAACCACTTAATTTGGCCATGTATGGGCAAAATATCGATCAGAAAACCTTTTTATTACATCCATATTCTCTCTCGTGAATTGAAGGTATTTTCAATGAATGAAAATACG